TAATGCTGTGAGCACAGAAAAGACATTTGTGGTTATTTCATTATAACTGTTATGTTATATTTGTCTGACCTACAAGTGCCTCTTTAATGTAAATGTAAGCAAGATGACTGAATGATCAAAAGCAATGTCAAACTGGCCAAAACACTCAATTTCAGTGGGGGTTGAATAATTTTGGCCACAACTGTAGCAGAATACATTTGGCCTAAATTTATGATGACATTTTTGGATATTTTTTATGAAAATATAATTTTTTTTCAAAATTTTCAGTCTTTTTTTGTTTATAGCGCAAAAAATAAAAAGCACACAGGTGATCAAATACCACCAAAAGAAAGCTCTATTTGTGTGAAAAAAGGACATACATTTTATTAGGGTACATCATTGTATGACTGTGCAATTACCAGTTGAAATAGTGCAACGTCGAAAAGCAAAAAAAGGCCTGGTCAGGAAGGGCGGTAAATCCTCAGGAGGGCAAGCGGTCAAAATCCAGCAATACACTGTCTCACCCTGCTCTGCACATTCTGCTGACTACCTACAGATTTGCTGTTGCTGAGGACTCTGGGCTTCAGCAAAATGGCAGCCTCCAGCAACAAGAAACAGAAACAATGCTGGAAGCAATTTGCAGCACACACTAATTTTGGTAGCATGATTGTTAATGCAGAATGTATGTTCCTTGCTAAAAAAACACTATTTGTTATCAAGTTGTTATGGATAAAGTTCCACTTTAATAGAAAGATACAACCTGCTGTAAGTTTCTTACTTCTAAATGAAAGAAGTAATTGCTGTCCCAATCATTTCCTTTTTTATGCTTCTAATGGTGCTTGGGTGGGCTGCATTGAATACATTCCCCACCCCTTGTCATGTGTCATAAATATACCGCACTCTAATATATTTTTGTTTTAGTTTACATTATGTTGCCCTTGATATCAGGGTCATTTATTATCTTATCACATGAAAGCATGAGGACTGTTGTCCTAAGAGTAAAGCATCAGGAAAACATGGAGGAGTAAGCGATCACAGTTGGCAGGAATATTTCATCTGATTTCTATTGCTGTGTGAATGACTCATTCAGAGGCCTATTTTTCTCAGGCTACCAGTTTCATTGGACCTTATGTATTGGAGTTGCAATACAGGCACAATACATTTAAAAGTACTATAAAAAGTTTGATGGTTTGAAAGTGAAAGTTTGAATCTTATCGGTGGTTGTGAGGAAAAAACTTTAGTTCTTCAATCCTGGTTATTTCATACATAAATGCAACTGGAACGTCATTATCTAAAGATTTAGCAATAGTATCTGCAAAGCATAAACCAGCTGGACACTTTAGGCCTTATGCATACTGGGCGTATAGCCCCGATTCATGAGATGCCTGGAATGGAGACTGCGTTCCCCAGCGCATATTGCCCTAAAGGTTAGTACTACTTAGTGCACTGTCCAGGCCCACCCAGCCGCAGCAGCTTTCAGCCTCTCATACTTTTACACAGGCTGCTGGCAGTGGGGCTTGGTGATGTACCCGTGCCTTCCCACCATACCAAAACGCTGAGATCTCAAGCACAGAGTTAAAAAAACACTCGATATGCAAGAGGCCTTAGTAGGTACACCCACTCATTAATGCAAACGTGATTGCAGGGCAATACATAAAATCATGCAGACATACTAAGGAGATTTAGTTGGAATATGGAAGCTGCACGATCTGTGCAAATGACCATACAATGATTGTCAATGTCAAGACATGGTGGTTACAGCATTTCATAAACTGCTGACCCCCTCCGATTTCCACACAGTACAGTCTCTAGAATCCAATCAGAATGGTATAAACTACATCCAACAAGCAACCACTTTAAGGGCAAATAAATCTTGCTAATGAAAAAGGTCAGAGAAATCAACAGATTCAGCACTTATTTGAATAGGAAAACTAGTTGTCACTTCGCATGGAGTTACTAAAACTGGATAACTGATATCTGAGAAAATGTTGTCTACAGTCAAACTGTGCTAAACTCAGCAGGAATCCATGTTTACCTACCTAGCGTCAATTATTCAGGCTGGTGTTAGTGGTGTAATTGTGCGGGGAATGTTTTCTGGGCACACTTTAGACCCCTTAATTGTTGCTCATCTTATGCAGCCCTTTATGAGTAATATATGTGTAGTACAGTGTGGGCAAAATCAGGAATCTGTTTACTATGGGTCATTACAGTCGAGAGGTAGCAGCATCAAAGCTCAGCATTTTAGTACATTTTCATTTTTAATTTTTTTGTCATCTGTGGACACTTGGGGGAGATTTACTAAGACAGGCACACATAGAATCTGTTGCAGCTGTGCATAGTAACCAATCAGCTTCCAGGTTTTATTGTCAAAGCTTAATTGAACAAGCTGAAATTAGAAGCTGATTACTATGCACAGCTGCATCAGATTCTGAGTACTCCAATTTTAGGAATTCTCCCCCAAGTAATCAAATCCAGTAATAAAAGTCTAGGAGTGGAGTCAGAGAAGATGCCAAGAGGAGTCACAAGACAAGACAAAGTTACTCTTTTTTTATTGTCTAGGTCACCATAGCCCCTGAATAGCCCAAGAATGGCCCCTGAATAGCCAAGTTTCAGTGCCCAGAATGTGTCCCTAATTGTGTGTCAGCAACAAATAGTGGGAGAACATATTTAAAGTGTTACTAAACTCAGGATCCTGCATTTCCTATATCTGGTCTCCCACAGTACACACAACATGAAAGTGCACTTATTTTAGTGAATATAAACTGCTAAATACCTTTTGCCATCAGCAGTTAGAGTAGTCTTGTGACTTCTATCAGTGTTCACAGAGCACTGGTTAAAGCTTGTAGGAGTTTTCTTTCTGCTCTAGGAGGATGCAAAACCCTTGACCTCTGTCTGGATAGTGCTGATTGGCCCTGTGCTGATCACATGCACTCTCCCAGGAAAAAAAAAACCTCTCTAGCAATACACAATAAACTGAGTATGTGCTGAATGGCTACAATTCAGTCTGTCTTATCAGGAGATAAGACATGGACATTTGAACAAGAGAAGGGCCAGAGAAGCAGGATCAAACAGCCTTTTTACACAATGCAGAGGATTAACCGCTAAGGTTCTACGGTGAGTATAACAAGCATGCTTTACTGCATATACAGACTGATTTTACTGTTGTGGGTTTAGTAACACTTTAAATATCTTTAATTCTCTCTGATAATTAATACCAGCAATATGGGAAATCACTGCAATAAAGAGTTGAAATTGCATATACCCAAGTATGATGATAAGTGATAAATAGTGGTCACCTTATCTGCTGGTCTCAGCAGGAAAAAAAAATAAAAGTGATTTATTGACATCGAGCTATAAAAATACTGCTTAAATCCCAGTTAGCTAATCAGGAAAAAATTCCACTTTTTAATGCTAAGAAACCACTTTTATGACCACAATTATTTAATTACATAATTTCCCCCTCTTTAAACCAAGGCCAATAAAAATAGCAAAGACACATCTTATAGTATGACTTTTGGCCCAACTGCATCGCCCAGGGAGCATCATGCCCACAACATTCACATTGTCCCTGGTGGTCCCAACCAGATGACTGTCTTTTTGCACCAAACAAATGACTATTTAAATATGAAGAAGCAATTTCTTCACAATATTTGCAGAGGAATTTACAGTTGATTAACCAGTCTATCCCTCTGGGATCCTCTGAGATCCCAAAATTAAAAAAAAATAGGAACAACTGCTCCAGCCTTGCAGACACAAACATGCAAACACAAGCACCTCCCATGTTGGCTAGCCTGTCAGTAATCAATCCAAAAAAAAAAGTTGTTCTGGTATACATTCGGATGCAAATATTTTCACTGTAGTTACATTACACACTTAAATTACAAAGAAACAGAATCTGGAGCAACTGTGCATGGCAACTAGCTGGTTATTAGTCAAAGCTGTTACAGATTCTGTCTGCTCCAGGGTTAGTAAATTCCCCATTGTGTGCTGCAAAAGACCACCGCAGTGTCTATTAATGCTTCTGAATAAATCCTTTTGACCTACTGACAAATGTACACAAATACAAATGCTCTTTGAACAATTATTTTTCAAATAATGTTCTTGACTACCATCTTACGGAATCACAGTCATGAAATTATGGTCTTAAATACTGTATGTGCCACCTTTTAACATTTTTTTTCTAGAGGAATTTCTGAAGAATCAGCAATATTGCCAAATGTGACTATGGTGAGTGCATAGGGGTTACTATTTGACTATAAGACACTTAAGTAACAGATAGCTCTGCTATTTCCTAAAAAAAAAAAAAAAAAAGGAAAGAATGTCAAACTATTCAAACTGTTCTGAGGTGTGCTTCTGTTTATTGAGTGCATTGCACTGTACTGTTTGAGCTTGTAGATGACCACTGACCTGTAGTTCTTCCTGGCTGTCACAAACCTGTGGTAGTCAGCCCTTGTAGATTGCCAACTCGGGGTTCCCCAGGGTGCAGAGTCTAAGCCCCAGCCTGATTCTTCACCAGAGCCCCTGATGGTGGGGATGGACTTGCAGCAAGCTGGAACCAGGTCGCGCGGCCCCCAGATACGCCCAGCTGAGGATGCGGAGACCAATTGCGTGAGCAGAGTGTAATCCAGGAGACAACAGAGAAGCCGATAGACAAGCCGAGGTCAGGACAGGTGGAGATCAGCACAGTCAGTGGACGAAGCCGGGATTGGTGCATGGGTGGGCAGATACAGGATACAAGCGTAGAAACAGACAAGAGCTCAGAGAACTAAGAAGTTGCTCAGGCAAAGTGGGCTAGACTGAGCATGTCTATATAGACAAGTAAACTAGGAGGTGGGCAAGGAAGTGATGGAAGGGAAGGAAATAAAACCCAGAGGATAGCAGACGATGCCTATAGTTGAGCACAGACAAAACCACACGTGAAAGGAATCAGGAGCAACACTGCAGCAAGGGGATAAGAATACACAAACAAGAAACTGCAGGCTAACTTGTGACAGTACTCCTCCCCCCTTACAAGTTCTCCCCACTTGTTTAGGGCCAGGCTTAAGAGGAAACTTCTGATGAAAAAATTCCACCAGACAGGGTGCAGAAACATCAGTAGAAGGGATCCAACACCTCTCCTCAGGATCATATCCCTTTCAGTCAATTAGATACAAAAGCTTCCCTCTGATGAATTTGGAATCCAAGATTAGCTTGACTACATACTGATCTGAAGTATTCACTATTGGGGGGGATGATGATGAGGACTGGAAAACCTGTTGATGTACGGTCTCAGAAGAGAAACATGGAAAACATTAGGGATTCTCAGATGTGATGGGAGGCGAAGTTTGAAAGCAACAGGATTGACCTGGCAGAGGATGGTAAATGGACCAATAAAATGAGGAGAAAATTTCATAGAGGGTACTTGTAGAAGGATATTCTTGGTTGAGAGCCAAACCTTGTCACCAGGCAGAAATTTGGGACTCACCTGGAAATGACAATCTGCAGCTACTTTGTACTTGGAAGCTGACAGATGTAAGTTCTTGGAAACATTTGCCTCAGAAGGAGTAATAATGGGAGAGCATAAGAAAGGAAGCTGGGCTGGGGCAGACACCAATACCAGGAAAAGGGTCTGGTGAGGAGGCTGCCAGGGAGGACACAGGAGTAGGTGTGAAGGCTTTGATTTGTACAGTGAGCAAGACAGGCTGTGCAAAACTGGAACCTGGGGTAATACAGGGGACAGAGGGCACTGTAGGGTGTTGGGGGCAGCACAGGGGACAGAGGGCACTGTAGGGTGTATGGGGGCAGGACAGGGGACAGAGGGCACTGTAGCTACCAATGTGGAAACCACAGCTGGGTCCAAAGCAGCTGAAGGGAATAGGGGTATTGGGGTCTCAGCAGACAGGGCAGACAGGGCACACAAATCCGGGAACTCAGATGGTACAGAGGTCACAGTTGTTGGGGCCTCCACCCATCCAGAAAGTAGCTCTGATCTGCACAGTATGTAAAGGGACCGATGGTTTGGGCAGCAAAGAGGGTAAGGAACTAGAGGTGGACAGCACCGGAAGGGGGCCTGCAATAGGAGTAGGCAGGGGAGCAGCTTAACTATAAAAAAAATCTTGGAAGGCCTGGCAATGTTGAGGGAGCACCAAAAAGGTGATGGCCTCAGCCACGGGTACAGTGCGAGGTGGGAGGACCTTAGGGAGACAAGTTCGATTGCATTTTGACCCCCAAGACAATACTTGGCCAGAGTTCCAGTCAATATAGGGTGAGTGTTTCTGCAACCATGGAAGTCCAAGAATGATAGGACTTGAAGACTGAGGAAGGATCAAGAAGGAGATTTCCTCACGATGAAGAGCGCCAACATGCATAGTTATGGAGATGGTTCAGAAGCGTAGAGGTCCTAAGGCCAAGGTATAGCCATCAACTGTAGATACTGATAGGGGTGTCATCAAGGGGACAAGAGGAATGCCCAATTCAGTGGCCAAAGATTGCTTGATGAAGTTCCCGGCTGCCCCAAAGTTCACATAAGCAGAAACTTGGTACGAATTCAGGGCCCAATGAATGGAGACAAGTATGATAAATCGAGGGAAGGTGGTGGAATTCAGGTTCTGGTCTAGATCACCTCCCTCAGAGTGACCTAGATCCGAGGACTTAATTATATGACCTTCAGCCCCACAGTAAAGGTATAGGCCAAATCTTAGGCGACGCGATCGCTCTTGTGGAGTGAGGCGTGTTCGGCCTAACTGCATAGGCTCTACAGATGCCGGTATGGTTGCAGAGGTATGTTGATCAGGGGCTTTCTGGAAAGCAGGAGCAAATTAACCCACTGGGGGGGTGACGTGGACGAGCTCTTTCCAGATCTTGCACCTGGAAGTGGATATCGATTTGGATGCTAAGAGCAATCAAGTCGCCCAGGGTGGTGGGTATGGTTTTTCCACCTAGTTCGTCCTTAATACGGTCTGCTAGACCCTGCCAAAAGGTTGCAGAAAGGGCCTCATTATTCCATGCCAGTTCAGAAGCTAAGGTGCGAAGCTAAACTTCATATTGTCCAACAGTCATGCTACCTTGACGAAGCCGAAGAAGAGCTCCTGTGGCAGATGAAGTCCTGCCAGGCCCATCGAAGGTTTTATGGAAAGCTTGCAAGAAGGCTGAGAGGCTGCAAATAGTTGGATCTTGACACTCCCACAGTGGAGAGACCCAAGCCAGTGCTTCACCAGAAAGGAGTGAAATCATGTACGCCACCTTGGAACGGTCAGTAGAAAAATGGTGAGCTGCTAGCTCAAAGTGAATTGAGCACTGATTGATGAAGCCCGAACAAGCTTTGGGATCAACAGAGAAGTGAGTCGGTGGAGGCAGCTGGAGTTTCGAAGGACTGTGTTCCACTGGAGGAACAGTGGGGGTTGCAGCAGCAGGAACCGGAGCAGGAGCCAAAACAGAGGGTGAGGAAGTGGACACAACCTGCAGCTGATCCAACCGGGAGAAAAGGGGAGAAAAGTTCCTGCAGACACTGTATAATACATTCTTTCCATTCATAGGTCTGCTGGACATCAACTCTTTGCACCAAACACTGGAGTTGTTCCAGGAGAGGCTGCGGGGAGCTCATGGTCTGAGCAAGCTGTCACGAACCTGTAGTAGTGAGCCTTTGTAGACCGCCAACTCGGGGTTCCCCAGGGTGCAGAGTCTAAGCCCCAGTCTGCTTCTTCACCAGAGCCCCTGATGGTGGGGATGAACTTGCAGCAAGCTGGAACCAGGTTGCAGCCCCCAGGCGCGCCCAGCTGAGGATGTGGAGACCAATCACGTGAGCAGAGTGTAATCCAGGAGACAACAGGGAGGCCAATAGACAAACTAAGGTCAGGACGGGTGGAGATCAGCACAGTCAGTGGACGAAGCCGGGATTGGTGCATGGGTGGGCAGATACAGGATACAAGCGTAGCAACAGACAAGAGCTCAGAGAACTAAGAAGTTGCTCAGGCAAAGTGGGCTAGACTGAGCATGTCTATATAGACAAGTAAACTAGGAGGTGGGCCAGGAAGTGTGGAAGGGAAGGAAATAAAATCCAGAGGATAGCAGACGACGCACATAGGTGAGCACAGACAAAACCACATGTGAAAGGAATCAGAAGCAGCACTGCAGCAAGGGGATAAGAATACACAAACAAGAAACTGCAGGCTAACTTGACACTGGCTAGATGTTAAGGGACAAATAAAGGTAAAATAGTGTTATCACCACTACAAAGTGGTTAGTGCCTACAAAAAAGTATTACTATTATTATCATTATTGCTGAGTATTGCCATATGTGACATGAAAAAAGCATTTTAAAAATATACTGTTTAATGGGGAGCAGTTGTTTTAATTAAGGCTTAAAGAGTAACATTAAAAATATACAATTACTTTAAATGATATGCTTGGGGGGGGGGGGGGTACTGTAAACTTGCATTTGAAATGGCACACCTGCATGTTGTGCTAAAGCAAAAGTGACATTTAGAATTTGCCACTAAATAACTGTAGCACTACCCCCTTAAGGGTTGCTTAGTAATTATTTTGCGTTCCCTGTCAATCTGAACCTCTGGTTGCAAGCCCAATCTCTGCTGACACTACCATGCTCCAGTGACCAAAGTAAATCACAACTGTAAAATGGACTCACACGTGAGTTAGTGTAAACCAATATGAAGTTTATATTGGAAACAAGGGTAACTCGGTCAAAAAGAACAAAATAACATTGATATATGCAGCAAATGTAACCACTTTTGGTAATTGTGAGCAAAAGTAACGACATTCACCATAAAGCAGGCCTGCTTTCAGAAATAATCCACTGCCTCCAATCTGATGGGACTCCCGAATCCCCAGTGAGCAGAAAACAGCTAACAAAAAACAGATAAACTCACTGTGGGTCTTCAGAACTAGACCACAAGGATTAGATGTGAAGGAGAGTGAATTCCCAGCTGAAATTGAGAATTGCCCCTTTAAAAACACTACAATGTCTTCTGCATGCTCGTTGGGCCTAGTTTTCATGAAGTTGAGTTGTGGTGTGCAATATGGTTCCTTGGGATGGTAACATAAAAATAATGAAGGAAGAAGGGGAGAATAATACTTTTCCTCTTGATGACAGCAAATTAGGACAGGGTCCCCTTTAAAGTACTAAACATGGACAGGCTTGAAGTAATGAATTGCAACAATTGCCATGAATGTCTATAGGCAAAGACTGCTCCCTTTGTACATCAAGGGCAAAAGTTAACAGTAATGAGAATCCTGCTTTGTTGAGGAAGGGAAAGTTGTTGTTTCAGTTGGCACTGCTGTATCCTGGCCTACAACCGTATGTCCTGCAGTCAGCTTGTACAATAAATTGTAATGTAGATGTATCTCAACAATGGCGGCTGCAAAAACTAGGCCACAAACTGAAGCAATTATATGTAATGTTCACAACTATGAGTAGTATAGTGTATGTGTATAGTTAGTCCTCATGCACACTGAACGTTTTTACAGCGGCTGTTTTTGGCTTTTGACATTCTTTTCTACAGCCAGTAAACTCCCCAGCATGTTATCTTATAATGTCCATGCACACATAGACTGTAATCAACGTTCTTTGGAAGAGGCATTTTTGGGCTAGAAAAAAAGACACAGAACTAGTGGGTTTCTAGGGGAGTTTTTTAGCTGTAAAAACCACTCTAACACTGAAAAACGTGGTAAAACACGGTAAAACATGGTACAATGGTGCAAAACTGCATTTTTGGACTTTTTTTTTGTAAAAAAATGCTAAAACCCGCAAACATGGAAAAACGCTAATGGAAAAAAGCTAAAAAACGCTGAAAAACACACATTTTTAATGTGACTTTACACAGCTAATGTTACCGGCATTCTTAAAACGCCCAGTGTGCATGGAGCCTTAGGTTAAGCATAGCTGTGTTTCTCTGCTTACCGGAGAAGCTGTCAGGTAAATTCAGCGAGGTATTCTGCTTAACCACTTCCCACCCAGCCTATAGTAAAATGACGGCCAGACGGACCTTTCGTCAATCCGGGATGGGCGTCATATGAGTGGCGAGATCTGTCACCGTTCTCAGTACCATGTGACCTGCTGTGACCAATCACAGCAGGTCACATTACAGTTGTAAACAATGGATGGCTTCCTTTCATGCCATCCATTATATACAAGTGTGTCTAGCTGTGAATGGTCACAGTGATCTCATGCACAGGCTGGGCCAATCATAGCCCATCTGTGTCATGTGATTAACCATGGCCAATCACAACAAAAAAACCTGAATGAATCGATTTCATTCAGTTAAATGCTTGCTTATAGCAAAAGACGTTCTTTGCTATAAGCAATCAAGTTGTGTAAACAAAAAAAAATTCTGATCACTTTCCCAAAGTAGTACAATGTTACTATGGTAACATTATACTACTTTGGTCGTAGTGTAATATGCAAAACAAATCTTAAAAAAAGAGTAAAAATTTTTTAAAAAATAAAATAAAAATTGAAAACAAATTATCATTTTTTTTTTCCAGTCAGTGCCGCCTATCAGTGCTGCCTATTAGCACTCATCAGTGCTTTCTATCAGTGCCCCATATCAGAGCAGCCTCATCAGTGTCTTCTCATCAATGTCCAACAGTGCCGCCTTATCAGTACAGCATATCAGTGCCCATCAATTCTGCCTATCAGTGCCACCTCATCAGTGCCCATCAGTGCTGCCTATCAGTGCCCATCAGTGCTGACTCTTAATAGTGGTGTAAACCTCCTGCGCTCTAAATATCCGAAAAATGTCTATCCAAGAGAAGCTGCTAACATTAAATCATATACCAATGATCTCTATATATATAAGTCAAAATGTAGCGCTACTCACAAACTAAAATACATGAATAAGTGTATACATCCACAAAAAAGTGACACATTGTGTAAAAATCAGTGAAATAAATCAATATTGCTCAGTCAGTGCCAACATAAGTTATAAATCAGTGAAATCATGCATATGGTACTGAATATAATACCACAAATCAGTGTGATAAAAACTAT